TGTAAAAAAGCAACACTGTAGGAAGGCATTGATTATGTGCAAGTGCCAGTCAAAATTTGCTACACTGAGGGATGACTCAAAGGCAGTTGCCTCAAAAGATTCCTTAGCAAAATGAAGAGAAATTGGGAGTTCAGCTAAGCAATCAATTCCCAAGTAACTCGCAGACGTTTGGTGTACGTGGTAATTTTGTTAAACCGCTTTCTGAATAGTTCTTGCAATTTTGCAAAACATAGTTTTTAAGACTCGACTGTTTCATTTTGAACCACTTTTTCATCTTGTAAAAATAACAATTAAACAGACTGCTGTGAACCCTTGAACAATATTTTTTTCAGTTTCTTCCCTGCACTCAATACATAAACAATTAATGATTTGAGCCAATGATATAACATTAAACAATTCTCGATGTACATGGTTGTTAACTTACAAAAATGTTGTTGATATAACTTCAAAATATATGACTAACTTAAATATCATGTCAATTTCAACTGTCAAAATGAAATCTGACACAAAAGAAATGTCAGATTTTAACTTTATGACCCCACAGCTCAAAGTGGGCCCAAGCCTATAGCCAGTGAAGCATGGCCTTGGTTACCACCAGCCTACATCACACTGGGAATTAGGAGCTGCTCACTGCAACTGACGAGGTGTTGTCAATCATGTCTACATACAATGGCCTTCCATGTTCTATTCAGTCATGACCAGGCCCTTTTCAAAACCATATTACCCCTGTTATTGTTCTGTTAACTGTTTGGTAAATTGTGGTAATGATTCAGCGCACAGTTATTTCAAAGAGTGAATATTTGCAATCTATATATTATTTACGTTGAAAATTGGCTTAAAATGTTATCAGTAAGAATTTTGAATGACTTTTTACGTGACTTCATTCTGATTTCTCTACTGAACTTAGTTAAAAAATGTTCCAAGATTCCAGATATTCCATCTTACAAAACACCCTCAAGGAGCAAGATACAAAAACATATGCTATTATGAAACCAGGTCGTATCAACACAAATATAACAGAACAATCAACAGAATTTTTAAAAAATAATTTCAAATTAATTTTCTTATTCCTGATTTTAAACTATTATCCTAAACGGAATCCAATTGACACAAAAGGAAATTAGGAAAACTCTGAAACGATTACAGCAGGACAAAGTCATCTAGGGATGGCTTATCATTTACTGCCATGTACTTTGTGAACAGGCTGTTTATTGGCCATGTGGCCTGGGCGCTAATAGCTGACATCTGCTGGAACCCAGCTCATGCTGCCGCCTCACTGTACCAGTATATATCATGTCTATTTCACCGGGGCGGAAATCAACATTCTTCACCAAATATCTCTCATACAATAATTGCAAACCAATCTCTCACTTCAAGTGCAAAAACAGTTTTTTCAAATTTACCTCTACTGTAAAATAGGCATTTGAATGTGTCCTGCTTGATATACAAATTATATGAGCATTTACTGTGCCTGCTAATAATAACACGTCTCTCTGTGTAAAGGCCTGAAATAGTAAGAAACAAAAATATTCTGAATATATTCTCAGAAGATGAGTGTTTGGAGATAGCGGTAGGAATGAGGCAGTTTACATTGAACATAAATTATTTTCTTTTGGAAAAGAGACATATATCTTCTTTTATTTTAAAACTATGTTCATAAGACAAATGTGTTTATCTTTCTCATCCCAAATTCATTTAAAAAACATAGACCAAAACTGTACTAATTTGTTTTACAAAGTAAGCACTAGAAACCTTCAATATAATGAAAAATCACTCAAAAACTGATTTGTTTGGGTTTTTTTTGTTAAAGATTGATGATTTTTTTCAAAACTGGCATTGGCATATTGAAGAAATAAAATAACTTAAACAGACCCCCCCCCAAAAAAATAAAAAAATAAAAACAAATGTGCTGAAAAATCAATAAATTCTTTTTAGAACCTTCTGTTTTGTGAATAGACTCTTGATATGTTTCTCAAATAAATCAGAAAAAAAGTAGAATGTAAAACAAAAAGGTTATGAAACACAATAGACATTTTTCAAAAGAAGTGAGAAAGTTTTCTTTCCAAACTGGATTAAAAGCAAATAACTCTGGATGTTTTTTCAGATCACCTCATATGAATAAATTATGCAGCAAAGTTTTAAAGTTCAATTCAAAATTATTTAAGAGAAATTGATTTAACATTCTTTTGAGTTTTAGAAGATAAAGAGGACAAGAAAAATGTCACAAATGACAAGTTCAACCCTACAGCCTAGGACTAAACCACAAACACAGTCAACACTGAAGGCCAGAGTCAGTGGAAAACCAGGGCTGCTTATAAATAGACTGCATTATCGCCAAGCCGAACTCGTTATAACGCAAATCATTCAAATCTCCATCATATGTATATCCGGTGGCACAGATATTAATTTCCAATACTTGTTCCATATTCATAAACTGCCAATAGTAAATTTTGTCAGTATTTGATAAAAATGTTCTATGTTTACATCAAACTGTGGTATAGAGGGGATATGAAGTCTATGCCTTTTCCATTACAAGTTTTGCCAATGTGAATGATCTTTCTTGTATTCTTAAGTTGTAACACCTAAGTTAAAATACAGCAGATATAGATCCATTTGGGAATCTAATAAAAGTACCAAAACGTCCATAATTTCAAATACAACTGAATTCTATCAATCAATAGAAACATAGTTATTTTTTTAAAAGAACTAAAATTGTTACTGAAAATTTACACTTGAAGCTTGAAAAGCTGCAACACATTCACTGGGAGACAACATATAGCAAATTCAATATGGCTGCTTCCTATCATACAGGGTGAAACTGATTAGATGCAAAACTTTAAAATTAAGTGGCATTACACAAATATAGTCAAAAAGTTTAAAAGAATATTCTAAATGAATTATAAACAAAGTAAAACATAACATATTTACGAAAACTATATATTTTCATATTTTATCAAAATGAAATAAATTTGTTGAAAACAAATATTTCAATAGGCAAACTGAGCAAAAATGTATATACACAACATCTGTAACAAGATTGAATATTTGAGAAAAGAAATTAACACAAAAGTTCCTGCATGTGTGAAGTTTATGGATAGCCGCATAATAAAATTTCTAGTTAATAAATACATGAATAAGCACACTGCAATACTTATATAAACACCACGATATAATACCAGTCATTACTCAAAGAGTTGAACATGCCCTTTGCTTACATTGATCTTTACACTCAACAATATAAGAATGTGACAGTGTAAACACTGACCCACAGGGATATTCACTCCATTGCAGTATGCTGTGATGCCCTAGCAACCTCATTATAACACCAAACATTTCACAAGGAATATTCTTTCAGCATAAAAGCCTCATGGAGCATGACTCTAAAATCTGAAATTATTACACAGGTGTAACTACTGATTTTGAAGAGAAATTTGACCTTTTTGATTGCAAGTGCACCTCATTATGAATCTAGGTGGAATCAGCTGTGAATAGATTCAGCCTGGCCCATGACATTACTACAGCACTGCATGAATAATGAGATAGAAGGTTGGGCAAGTTTCCCCATTGTTAGACCCATCCCCCTTTCCCCCCTCGACCGATCCCCCCTTTCTCACCCCCCTAAAGTTCTCTATTTGATGTTAAAGGAAAACTTTTAGGCTAAAAGGATTTGCAAACGACACCAGCAAGTTTGTACAACAAACACAACTTTTTCATGTCTAAACAAGGAAATGAAATTGGAAATTGTTGAGAAATGTACTTACAGAAAGGTGATTTCATGTGTTTCATCCTATATATAGTTCTACAAAACGGGCTCGACATCCTAATATAATTATTTTAGAAAGTAGCTACTTCTTACACAGCTGATAACGACACAGTTGCAAAGCAAAACTATAATTGACCCTTGATCCAGGAGAAAGTGTTCATAGGGATGAATGTAAACATATTTCTTTAAAGAAAATTTGATAACAAGAAAACAAACTAAAAAAAACACAAAATTCAATATTGATTTTTCAAAAATACTCCATTCAAATCTAGGAGATCAAACAAATTCTGCAAAGTCTCTAAGACATGTTTTTCCTTGTTTTCGCACAAAAGTACAATGACAGGTCTGGGTAACTCATCTTGTGTTTGGGTCATGTTAACAAATTCACAACACATGAGAAATATAAACGTTATGACCTGACCTCCCTATTGTTCCAGAATACAAATAAATTCCTGTTATTTTCTTACATAAAAAATCAACAGGATATACAGATGTAGTTTTATAAAGTTTCATGTCACAAATTAATGTAATCTTCATTGCAAGCACTAAAGGAAATAAAAAGGCAATGTGTTACTATCTTTAGATGTCACTCGGCCAAGGATTATGTTTGTGCTAGATGCTTCAGTAATGGTAGTGATTACATGCTGAAGGTTGCCAGCTTGCTTCCCCACTAAGCTATGGTTTGATGGTTGAGCAGATTTACCCAGGGTTACAGGTCAGGCAATATCGCGAACCAAATAGACTACAATACCCCCCAAACTTCCTTTGCAAGCTGAAAGTCTGACTGCCACATGTAATTTATTATTTAATGTGTACATAGACATTGATTTTCTGAACTCTTTCAATTTCGACACTTAATGCAATGACGACCAAGCTACATTAAATTACAAAGACAAAAACAGATAGCGGTCTACTTGAACATGGGTAAACTGTGATCAATAATGCAAAAAATTACAAATTCTTTTCTGAAAAAGACATTTGAAGTTCACATGAAACAAACATGAAGAAAATAATTGTTAAAATGGCTTTGGTGGATATAGGTCAACAACATGTAGTTTCCTGTTAAATAGCTAAATTAACTGGAAATAACTGGTAATCAAGTTCATCAATATAAATTTAACATTATAAACAAAAACATGTTTATTCACTAAATGTTGAATAAGAAATGACAAATAATTACCATGGTGATTCATGGTAGCCAAATTAAAATTAATTTAATAAAAATTAAAATACTTACCTCTCCATGGTAGTCAAGTTTTCCATCAGGTGTATGGTCCGGTAGGAAATAGAGTCGGACACTTGTTAACAGTTGGTTACTGTTTTTATCATGCCAAAGGAGTTGAAGTTCCCCAATGCTTACTGGTGCGTCGCGTACAATTTCCACGAAGAAAAATTCCCCCAACGACAAAATTTTAGGTTTTTTGTCCTTAAAATATTTGAAGGCCTTGTAGAAAGTATAGGGTCCATGCTGACCACAGGAGGAGCCAACGAACTGCAAAACAGACATTGTAAATTAAGAAATTCTCACATCTATCGGTATGCTCACAGGGCTGTCAGCCTCAAATCTGAAATCGACACTCGCATCTGGGTCACTCACTCAATAAATACTCGTCGCAACAGAATACATGTTTCATAAATAATTCAACAAGTGTGTTGTAAAATAATTCAACAAATTATTCCTTTCGTGAAAATGAACACTTACCTTCGCGCTGGTAGAATCCATCCCATTAAAAAGTTGATTATCTATGATGATCGCAACATGTACAAGTCCAACAATACAACTTTTATATTTGGCCCCTAATTAGTGACGTCACATCTTTGAAGCCTCGGAATTATCATAATCCATTCCAGGGAATATTGACTGGCGAATAAAGCACTTTCTAGTTTGCACATTCAACAGCAAAATACACATTTCGCTTGATACATATTTCTGTTGTATTCTGGAGTATTTTCTTCCATGTTATGTTTCGCAAACTGGCTTCGCATCTCCGGCTTTGCATCGCACTTGCTAAAAAAAGATTTGCCGGTGTTCGAGCACATTATGCTCCCTGTGAAAGGAGAACAAATAGTTCTGTTTAGTTTCTGTTTCTCTTTAAAATCAACCATACCACAGTTTCTAATTATGAATTAGACCAAATCAAAATTAGCTGCAACCAACTTTATTCAGATGTGTATTCCACAATATTTTTTAAATTAAATTTGTTATTGTGCTGTTTAGCCCAAGGCGGATCTTATCCCAAGCGGTAATAGAATAACCTAAACACACCACGCGCTTGGCAAAACATGGCGAGAGGCGTGCCGAAGTTTGTTTATGAATTTGCGGAAGTGATTGTGTGTTAAATTTGGGAGGATTTGAGTAAGTAATGGAATGTCATGCCTGTGAAACAGTTTAATGACCTTAATTATATTCACACCACACCAAATGTCTCCACTGTTACTCCTGATTTTGTGTGAAAACTACACGAAAGTGACAGATCCATATTTGACATAAAACGACCAATATTAGCTCAATTTAATAGGACATTTGGTTAATTAAACCGTCACTGACAAATTCAAGTTTCAGGACTGATTTGAGTGGGTTCAATGGCCTGTACACGTTATGAATTATATATGGTCAATGGTTGTCCGTACATAAAACTGATCACATGATCGTGAATCAGCTGTTTATTCAGACTTTAAGTTTGACAACATGAATAGAACTAAAACAGGAAATAGGTTCGGAACTTCCCCGTGTGAAATCAAGTCTCGTGAAATCGTCTTGAGAGAAGTGGTACCCAGTGTATTCCAGAGTTTTTGGTATGTTTCCTTTGCAGTGGAAGTCTTGACTTTCCCTTTTGCTCACCCTATATAACCATGACAATATGTATAATAATAGATACAAGGAGCCAAATAATAGATGTACGGGTATGTCCATAGGAAATATTAGTAAAAATCGTGAAGAGGTCACTGGCGACGCAATTCACTGTGCAGAGTTGCATCTCTTGGGCACGCCAGAAAGCTTAGATTGTGGGTTCAAATCGCAGTTCGCCCAGATTATGTTTCCCCGATTTGTCAGACCCATAACCATGCTCATGTGTTTGACCAAAGTGGTAAATGTATGAGACCTGCATCAAAATTAGCTGCAACTAACTTTATTCAGCCTTTCCTTCCCTAGGGGGCACGGGTGGCCCAGTCATCTAAGGCGCTGCAATTCGTTGTGCAGAGTTGCGTCCCTTGGGCACGCCAGAAACCTATGATTGTTGGTTCGAATCCCGGTTCGCCCCGATTATGTTTCTAGCTTTGTCAGTACCATACCCGTGCTCGTGGGTTTCACCGAAGTGGTAAACGTCTGAGACGTGCATCACTTCGGGCTTTCCTCCCACATTAAGCTGACACGCCGCGATATAACTGGAATACTGTTAAAAGCGGCGTTAAACCAAACTCACTCACTCACCCCTTTCCTCCCATATAAAGCTGAAAGGCCGGGATATGACTGGAATACTGCTCAAAGAGGTGTAACCTATCTCAACTCACTCACATATTATTGAGAAACTGTTCATTATTGCATAACAGTTGATTGTTTGCTTATGTTACTTATGGATTAATACATTATTTCATTATATCGATTCACTCTCTGTCATTTTGTAAAGAGGACATCATTGGACACTAACTACAGACTTCCAGACTATTGTGTCACATGACATTTCATACAGATGATAGCAAATCACATATTACTCATCAAAAGCTTCTTAGTTTAGCCTTTTCTTTTATCAACTTATTGTCACCCTTGATTCTCCCATTTTGCAAGGACATCCTTCAAGTTTCTGTTCTGGAATATATTCAATTCCACAAAAAGACTGCATTTGTTTCACAGAGGTAATGGCTAAGCACCACAAAGAGTTCTCATCTCTACTACAAACAGTTCCTATAATGACTCATTGGTAGGAACCACTAAAAATATACACACAGGTGAACATTGTTTGGGTGAGTACAGTGCTCTCAGATTACTGTGAGGCTAAACCAGGAATGGGTGGTTGAAAAATGAAATATTTATGCAGTCTTCATTCATGATTTTGTTACTGACATGATGCAATTGTGACAATGGCAAAACAAGCATTTTGTTTCAGTCATTGTATGAAGCAGTGACCAATCAAGATGGCTGGAGTAAGGACATTGTAATTGTGGAGATCTGAACCTAGGTGTGCTGTGTGGTATTTGACAACATCCTGCCTGCTCAGCTACTATTCACCACTATCACCATTGTAATTGTAGAGATCTGAACCTAGGTATGCTGTGTGGTATTTGACAACATCCTGCCTGCTCAGCTACAATTCACCACTATCACCATTGTAATTGTGGAGATCTGAACGTAGGTGTGCTGTGTGGTATTTGACAACATCCTGCCTGCTCAGCTACAATTCACCACTATCACCATTGTAATTGTGGAGATCTGAACCTAGGTATGCTGTGTGGTATTTGACAACATCCTGCCTGCTCAGCTACTGTTCACCACTATCCCATTGTAATTGTGGAGATCTGAACGTAGGTATGCTGTGTGGTATTTGACAACATCCTGCCTGCTCAGCTACTGTTCACGACTATCACCATTGTAATTGTGGAGATCTGAACGTAGGTATGCTGTGTGGTATTTGACAACATCCTGCCTGCTCAGCTACTGTTCACGACTATCACCATTGTAATTGTGGAGATCTGAACGTAGGTGTGCTGTGTGGTATTTGACAGCATCCTGCCTGCTCAGCTACAATTCACGACTATCACCATTGTAATTGTGGAGATCTGAACGTAGGTATGCTGTGTGGTATTTGACAACATCCTGCCTGCTCAGCTACAATTCACGACTATCACCATTGTAATTGTGGAGATCTGAACGTAGGTATGCTGTGTGGTATTTGACAACATCCTGCCTGCTCAGCTACAATTCACGACTATCACCATTGTAATTGTGGAGATCTGAACGTAGGTGTGCTGTGTGGTATTTGACAACATCCTGCCTGCTCAGCTACAATTCACGACTATCACCATTGTAATTGTGGAGATCTGAACGTAGGTGTGCTGTGTGGTATTTGACAACATCCTGCCTGCTCAGCTACAATTCACCGCTATCACCATTGTAATTGTGGAGATCTGAACCTAGGTATGCTGTGTGGTATTTGACAACATCCTGCCTGCTCAGCTACTGTTCACGACTATCACCATTGTAATTGTGGAGATCTGAACCTAGGTATGCTGTGTGGTGTTTGACAACATCCTGCCTGCTCAGCTACTGTTCACGACTATCACCATTGTAATTGTGGAGATCTGAACCTAGGTGTGCTGTGTGGTATTTGACAATATCCTGCCTGCTCAGCTACAATTCACGACTATCACCATTGTAATTGTGGAGATCTGAACGTAGGTGTGCTGTGTGGTATTTGACAACATCCTGCCTGCTCAGCTACTGTTCACGACTATCACCATTGTAATTGTGGAGATCTGAACGTAGGTGTGCTGTGTGGTATTTGACAACATCCTGCCTGCTCAGCTACAGTTCACCGCAATCACCATTCTAGTTGTGGAGATCTAAACCTAGGTGTGCTGTGTGGTATTTGACAACATCCTGCCTGCTCAGCTACAATTCACGACTATCACCATTGTAATTGTGGAGATCTGAACGTAGGTGTGCTGTGTGGTATTTGACAGCATCCTGCCTGCTCAGCTACAATTCACCGCTATCACCATTCTAGTTGTGGAGACTTGAACCTAGGTGTGCTGTATGGTATTTGACAACATCCTGCCTGCTCAGCTACAATTCACGACTATCACCATTGTAATTGTGGAGATCTGAACCTAGGTGTGCTGTATGGTATTTGACAACATCCTGCCTGCTCAGCTACAATTCACGACTATCACCATTGTAATTGTGGAGATCTGAACGTAGGTATGCTGTGTGGTATTTGACAACATTTGCCTGCTCAGCTACTGTTCACCACTATCCCATTGTAATCATCGTCTGCACCACCATCTTGCTAGAATAGGTCCCCAGAATTCTACTACATTTTGTAAGTCAAAAGTGGATTGGGTGGTGATTCTGTGTGACTTGGTTCGCTCCATGATAATGTACCGTGCAGGCATGGGAAGTCTAGATCATTGAACTTTGGTGACTAATGGGGCTATTTTCACTATTGCAATTGTTTTGCAATATTTGTATACATGATAAATTCTTTTCTGTTTCGATACAAGATGATGCACTTGCTAAAATAAATTACATACTACAGTACTCGTTTAATGATGTCATTTTTGTCACTCAAATGTTGTAAAATGTGATGCTGAATAATTTTATCAAATCTTTCTCAATGTACTATATTTATAAAAAATTGATTTTTTTTCCCAGCTCATGCCATACAGTTCATTGTTCATACACAATCTTTTACATTATCTTGCCACATGGCAGAAGAATCAGGAGCTGACAAGTACAAGTCACAGTGGTCAATGCAGAGGATGTTTGACACATGACACTGGTCAGTGCAGAGGATGTTTGACACATGACAGTGGTCAGTGCAGAGGATGTTTGACATGACAGTGGTCAGTGCAGAGGTTGTATGACATGACAGTGGTCTGTGCAGAAGATGTTTGACACGACAGTGGTCAGTGCAGAGGATGTATGACACGACAGTGGTCAGTGCAGAAGATGTTTGACACGACAGTGGTCAGTGCAGAGGATGTATGACACGACAGTGGTCAGTGCAGAACATGTATGACATGACAGTGGTCAGTGCAGAGGTTGTATGACGTGACAGTGGTCAGTGCAGAACATGTATGACATGACAGTGGTCAGTGCAGGGGATGTTTGACACAAGACAGTGGTCAATGCAGAGGATGTATGATGTGACAGTGGTCAGTGCAGGGGATGTTTGACATGACAGTGGTCAGTGCAGAGGATGTATGACGTGACAGTGGTCAGTGCAGAGGATGTATGACGTGACAGTGGTCAGTGCAGGGGATGTTTGACATGACAGTGGTCAGTGCAGAGGATGTATGATGTGACAGTGGTCAGTGCAGAGGATGTATGACGTGACAGTGGTCAGTGCAGAGGAAGTATGACGTGACAGTGGTCAGTGCAGAGGATGTATGATGTGACAGTGGTCAGTGCAGAAGATGTATGACACGACAGTAGTCAGTGCAGAAGATGTTTGACATGACAGTGGTCAGTCAGTGCAGAAGATGTTTGACACAAGACAGTGGTCAATGCAGAGGAGGTTTGACACAAGACAGTGGTCAGTGTAAAGGATGTTTGACACAACAGTGGTCAGTGCAGGGGATGTTTGACACAAGACAGTGGTCAATGCAGAGGATGTATGAGGTGACAGTGGTCAGTGC